TTATTTGCATCATTGCAATCATTACAATAATCAAGACACAAAATCCAGATGGCCCTTATCGATCTCTAATACTGTACACGAAAAGGACGTCAGAAGTAAAAACATCAACGACAACCACAAAACCCATATTGATAAAACCAGTAAAGGTAAAGGGTTTATTCAATGCTGAAAAGAGAAGAAAGGTGTCGCCTGAAGATGGCTCCACAGCCGAAACGTTCTTTTCTTTCCATTCAGCGTGGAATAAACCTACCTGTTCCGTGTTTTGCCATACTGTAGATCAGTCTTTTAATACAGACTTTAGTATTTGTAGACTGATTAGTATAAATCACGCACACAAAATCAAAGATCACAGAAGCCGTAGAAGAACTTAGACCCCGAGACGATTAAGAGAAGGAGCAGGGAGGGGCGAAGAGATTGTCACATTCAGGTTCATGTCTTGTTCAACGAAATTTAATGTAAATTTAAAAGCAAACAAACTACAAAACATACCGGGTTTTTTTTTTTCAAACAGCAGGTGGTAACGCAGAATTGTACAGGAACCGAGTCAAATGTCCCCCTTCACAATAAATCCCGCTATCAGTGCAATATGAATCCAACTTTTTCTACAACGGTGCAACACTCTCCCGAATGGCACTGAACCCTTGCAATGTCCCTACAAGTCAGCTCTGGGCGTGTCATTGAAACTACAGTAAAGGTGAGCTTTACGCACAGCCTCATGCCAGTTTTTATAGCATCCTGTTCCCACTCAGCTAGTTTCACTTGCTTTGTTACGAAAGAGCTTCATGGGGAGTTTAAACGGTCATAAAGCAACACAGATTAAAACAACACAGGATTATGTTGGACACGTAACTAACCCCACACATGCAAATCGAATAGTTTGTAGGGAGCCCATAGGGAACATTTTCCTAACGTGCCGCCAAACCGCATTTGCAGCAGGTGTTATTTTCGTTACCAAAAAGTCTAAACGTCCTTTAAAGACGTTTGAGTACCTTTACTCTTTCAAAATAACTTAAAAAAAACAGTCGTCTTCCACTCTGAAATTTAACTCTCATTGCGTTGAGGGCGAGGCCTGGAGGTTCGACTGCTGATTTTCCTGGTAGAGCCTGTTTGACCAGCTATATGCAAATTTCCTTAAATCCCAAACTGAAAACCTGTCGCGACTCGGAATCGGCACTATTCGTGCTTCTCAGTACTACTACTAGCAATATCTCACCCTCAGCGTCTGGACACCTTAGTAGATGCGACTTTCCTCATTTTTTACTACGCATTAACGATGAGCTGTTCAGTATTCTCGGGAAAGGGCATGCAGTACAAGATTCATCGCCACATTTATTTTCAGGCTTCCATTTGTACAATCAGACATGAGGGTTTTGTAAGATGTCCTAAAGTGTTGTAACAGCAGTACAAACAAAAACATCCAGAAAAGTTTAAAAGAAAAAACACAAAGCCCCAGCATTAAACACAACAAATGCGAAGCACCAGTGAATAAGTGAATAAACCCCACGTGATTTGGAGGACTTTCAAGAGGAGTGAATCATACTCGAGTATTATTTCCTGAGGAAAAATACGTTCTGAATTCTTTCACAACACTCCCTTTTTATCAAGGGTCTAGATTCCATACAAATATTGCGCAAGAGTCCCCTGCCTGCATTCTAGAACAATAAGTGTGAACAGTGTGTTTATTGAACGTATGGTCCAGGATTTATAACTGGTATAGACTTCTCTGTGGCAATTCATAGAGACTGAAGGTGCCATTAAACACTCCACTTTCACCCATTTCATCCTGTTCAGGGTTGCAGGGGAGCCAGAGCCTATCCTGGCAAGCAATAGGCGCAAGGCAGGATACACCCCAGATAGGATGGTGTATCCAATCGCACAGCAGCAACACACAGCAGGGACAATTTTCCCAGAAGCCAATTAACCTACCTGTATGTTTTTGGAGTATGGAAGTAATCCAGAGCACCCAGAGGAAACCCACACAAACACAGGGAGAACATACAACCTCCACACAGACAGCAACCCAGATCTGGAATTGAACACAGGGCCCCCAGCCCTGCAAGCCAACAGTGCTAACCACTCCGCTACCACGTCGCTCAAAACACACCGCTTAGAAGGCCAAATTCATCAAATTAAAAATTCTTAAGCCTTTTTAAATACACTTGGCGAAAAATTCCTGACAGCTGCTTAATCCTAGTTTCTTAGGGAAATCTGTAGTATCTGACTTTTAATTCCGCATAAATATTTTAAGGTTTCTTTTTATAAACAGGAGCAAGACATTCTAAGACGGTTAGAGAAGTTAAATCCAGTTCTTCATAAAATGTGAATTGTTCTGCAGTTGAACTGTTCTCATGCAGTGTTCTCAATCATTTCAGGCAGGAATGAGAAGTAGGGATGCCTACAGAAAAACAGGCAAGGGTTAGCCTGGAAACTAGAACGAATAAATCAAGCTGAAATGAAAAGGTGTAGAAATATACCTCTTGTATTTTCCCCCTCATTTAGAAAGTAAAGACCTTTGCTAAAAGATTTTGCCTATAATCATTTGTGACATTTCTAGGATTTAAACAGTTCTATGGCTTTTAGGGTAAATTTATGATGGCAGCTGTATTTAGGGGATTTGTGAAGTCAGAGTTCAGAAAATCAGGACATTAGAAAATCGCAAAGGCAGTTTTATAGACATTTTTAAAAAGAAGAAGCAAACATCTATCTATCTGTGATTCATGGAAAAAGACCAAGAAGTCAAGGCAAGTCATGGCTTTCATGGAAGGGATTGGGTTCCCGCAAGAAAAAACTGACATGAAAAGCATTCTCAGCCTCCAGCGGTTGGTATACAGTGACATGGGAAAAAATACACTGCATACTTTTAAAATATATTCACATGAATCAGGCTGGATACGTTAGTGCACTAGCCAAATGCCTTCAACTGAAAAAAAAAAGAAGAATTCTATTGTCTTCGGTTCAATGATGAGTACATTGTAAATTAACGCTTTCTAGAAGAATTAGAATGCAATTCATACTAATCATAAGGTTTGACTACTTCTTGCAGGCGCAAGTTGTGCTTCATGGAAATACTGAGGGGTGGAAAATTCAGCTTGATCTTAATGAGAGTTATTTTGAGGCATCTAAAAAAAAAAAAAGATTTCAGCGTAGGAATCCACATTAAAAAAACAGGCAGAGAACAATGGGCTGAGGGAGATTTTCCTCACCGAATCTCAAAGAACTTAAAATTCCTCCCATTGCTACTTAATTATTTTCCTATTGTTAAATGGTATATGGAAGAATAAAAATCAAGGGAAAGCAAGTATCACTCAAGACATGTTCGGATCAAGGACTGATATGGATCTATTCCTTGATTGCACTGATCTATGGAATCCTTGTTCGTGAAGTCTGAATCAAGCTAAGCACTTACTGTAATAATGTTATCTTTAGGAAGAAGGTCAGGTATGATTAAATGCCAAGGATAGCATTACATCTCCAGGTACTAAATTTGGAAAGGAATGTTAATGAAACTAATCCAAGGCAAGGTTTGACTTGCTCTACAAATTCCTCTTATTCATTTTCAGTTCTAATTCAAGATTCACAACAAAAGCTATACTTGCATTTAGTTTTTACTATTCCTTAACAGAAGAGGAAGTTTTTTTAGTTATATCAGACTCGCACATTCATCTATTTCTTAGAAGAAAAAAAACCACTATAACCACCACCACAATAAGAACTTCCAGAACAAACTTAGTTCTTATTATAAATAAAGAAAAACATCATAAAAAAATCTGTTTGGATACACGTTCATCCGTCCGTTGGTAACCGCTTCATCCTGTACAGGGTCACTGGTGATAGAGTCGGTCTCGAGAAGCAGCAGGCACAAGGCAGGATAGACCCTGGACTGGACGCAAGTCCATCGCAGAGCACACACAGAAAGAGATCCACTCACAGCACGGCCAGTTTTCCCCAAAAGCCAGTTAACCTAACTGTATGTCTTCCGCCTGTGGAAAGGAAACCAGAGCACCCAAAGGAAACCCCCCGGAATTGAACCCAGGGCCCCAGCGCTGCAAGGCAGCAAAGATAAACACTGTGCCACCATGCCATCCTTCTGGATAAACATATTGGTACAAATTGTTTATACATATTCACAAGAAACGTACATCAGGTATATCAAGAAAATCTTTTGGCAATTTCTAAAACGCGTAACAGAAATATACACACTTACAGTGAAAGATCTGAATTACAGTAGAGAATCTACAGTTAACAGTTACCACAGATTTGGAATAAGCATTTCTTCCCTTTGACTGCCTTTCAAGAATACAATACGCCTGACAAGTCTATTTTGGTGCTGAAAATGGCAGACAGTTCTTTGCTGAGCAGATCGTGTAAGCTCATCCCATCGTGTGAATACACCCAACGCTCTCCTGTCCAGTCATAGCGTTTTGGCCCACTGAAAGAAAAAAAAAGCATAATAAATTTGCAAAAATATGTAAAGCCAATACACAACGAGCTTCCTATAACCTAAGGACTAATTACAATAACAAGAACTACTTTTGGTCCAAGTTAAATGGGTATTTCAGATAACTAAACAGTTTTGCTCCCCTCGACAATATTTTGGATAATGCACATTTAAGCAGACAAGTAAAATTTATTAAAAAGAATAAATATCCATTCATATACATTTTCAAATTATAAGAAGATATAATGTAGAATTTGTGTCGTGGTTCTAAGTCAATAAAACAGAGTATATTTGAAACCCTTTATGAGTATTCCGGCTTTTGGAAACTACTATCGCGAAATAAATAAAAGGAGCTAAAAACTTTCCTTTGTGCCTCATAAAGCATCTTACTCAGATGCAGTAACGCAATGCAAATCATAGAAAACATCATGAACACTCCCAGAGTGCTGCAAGCAGTGTTGTTAATTGCAGTGAAGAAAGGATAGACAGCTGTATGCCACATACCTCACAGGAGAGGAGAGCCAGATCTGTTTATTTGGAGTCTGCTTGTTAATAACGTAGGTTCCATAGTCACTACTTATCTTCACGGTGAGCACCCCGCTCTAGAATGAAAACAAAAACACAAGCTTTCCATTTTCTTTTTCAAACAACTCTAATAATTCCCATTTACTACACATTCACCCAGATCATGACTTTTCCAAATTTTAGTCCAAAACTGTAATTGTATCTACAGATGTGTGACTGACAAAGCTCTTATAACACTATGTAAAATAATAAAACTCTGTCATTGTCTGAAATCCATTACAATTATGTGCTTTCAAGTATAACTCATCCTTGTTTGTTATGAACACATTAACACTGGATGCAAACCTTCATTAAGGCACAAAAGACTTTTGATCAAAACATTATACTTTCCAATAGTGCAAATTATGTTCTGTCACTTAAACTGAAGATTGCTGTAAGTGCCACCGCAGTCTGTCAGGTTTTGGAATAGCATTTACTCCTGGGACTTTCTTGACATCTGCGATTTTGCACAGATGTCAGTGAGAGATGCGTCACTCCTCGGTGTGTGTGTGTGTGAACTCCCCTTGCGGAGTGATGCGGGGCTTGTGGGTGCAGGAAGGAACGGCTCCGATAGGGGGCTGGTTTGGGAGAGCGTGTCCACATGTCTTCATGCTCGTGCAGCACGAGGTTTGTGGCCATGAAGCTGACATGTAAACAGCTGGCGGTAGAAAATGAACTTAGGCAGGTAGATAATTAAAATAACTCTTGATCAAAAAATGAAGGCTTTATACTTATGCAAGTGCTACAAAATTTCTATGAAGCCATTAGTTATTCTCAAGGTCGCTACTGAAATGACACAAAGACTTACCCAAACGAAATACTAAATACTAAAAAAGAGTAATATATGATGGACACCGAAAACCCGTAAAACCTAGATGACAACTATGTAACTGACTGAAAGAACATCATTTATAAGGTGATTTAAAAGGGCAAAGCTGAGTACTGTATACTCAGGGAGGCCTTGATCTGTGGCGAGATTAGTTCTGTAAGGCTGCAAAAGTGCTTAGGCAAAGCTAACTGCAAACCTCCAAGGCACATATAATTGCATTTCAAATAACATCATTATATCTTCCAAGCCAAGTTTACTGAATTCATTTTCTTTACCTTACTTCTTTTAAATAGTGCTGCATGACACGTCAGCACACAGAGAGCAATTACAGAAGATAGAACAGCCATTAGTGATTCATTTTTCCCTCCGGTCTTAAAATAAGCGAGTATGCTACAGGATTATCACAAACAACCAGACACAAAAGGGAAAATGCTACTTTTTAGCTTGAAAAGTAGAAATCATGCTTAGTTGTTATCCACACTACTGCAGTTATGGCAAGTATGGGCTAATGAATTTTCCTAGGCAAGAAAAAATTGCAATGAATGTTTCAAATACAGTATGTAGATATGGAGGATTCAACTGACACATCCCTTGAATGTTAGGGCATACATATACTGTACTCTTCCACTGTCCCAAGTTTGTATTGGGTTGTAAAAAATAATACCTGGAAAATTTTAATGAAAAAATTGTGCACCTTTTCTTTCATCTTTCACGTTAACATACTACAGGAGCTATGACAACATTGTTTCACACTCTCACACTGTTTCTGAAGTTACCGTTTGAATTTAAAAGGGAAAAGTAATAAGGACTATTTAAAGATAGAATATTCTATTTAAAGCCAGTTTTGCCTGAAACTCATGGTGAAGTGTTCATCTACACAATACCTTGAGATTTTATTTTAAAAAAAAGCTTTATTTCCCTCAAGTCTGTCTTCACAGCATTCATTCCGTACGTGATACAGGTCACAACACTATGAAGTGTAGGTGCTGTCTCTTAAGAATCAATGGCACTAACAACGTTAGCAGAAACTTAGATAAAGTAACAATCAAAAATTTACAGCTGTGTACACTGATTTGCCAGCCTGATTAGAGTGAGCAGGCTCCCACACCCTTAACAAGAACAAATAACTCAAATTCTTTGGAGACCGTACTTTTTTCTACATGTAATTCTATTCCACCAGGGAAAGTAACCAATGGAAACTTGAGAGACTCCTTCCACAAAAGGTCAAACTTACAATGACAGAAATATCTTTTTGAACACAGCCATTTACTGTATTTGTCCTGTAGCATATGTGCAGTTAAAAAGTACCATCTAAAAATAAATACCATCTCGATTTTAGGTGTACGGTAGTTGATTTATACATTCTGAGTGACTTGCAATTTTATCACACATCGACTAAAATATAAAATTATGCTGGACAAATGCAGCAAAAAATGCACCACTTGATTAAACTTGTACAGTCTTATTTTATGTTACCGATAAATAAACACATCTTCCAACTCAAACTGCAAACCAGAAGGTATAAGAAAAAGGACAGTAGTTTAAAAAAATATATCTCAGCTTCTTATCAGTACATTTATCCCCCAAGCAAATGTTAAACACAGCGATATGTGGATATCAGCCAACTAGAGTCTGGCTGGAATCCTGTCCTCTGTGGAAAATCAATAACTTTCTTGCGCCTGGAGAGACACAGACCTCTGTGCTGCTGATGGGGAGCCCAGGTCAAACAGCACCACTCAACCAGTCCTGCGCCGACCTCCTGAAACTGCATGACGACAGGAATTCTTGACAGCAGGGGTTCTGAGCCCTGGTGCCGGGGACCCAAACACCTGCTGGTTTTCATTACAGCTGACCTCTTTACTCATTAACTCAGCCGACGAGATGCTTGGTTAGAACCTTTAAAGGTTCTCTATTTTCTATTCCAAAGTTAGAGATTTTAAGTTACTTAAATTACTTAAGAAACATAATGGTTAAAAGGCAACCTCCTAGATGTTTAGGACTTGAAAAACAGTTTAATTAAAATGTATCATGAGGTCTATTAAGGGTTCAATTATTTAATTACGTGCTATGGTGGAATTAAAAAAAATACCCAAAATTGGGTACCCCTGCTTTAGACATCACTAAGTAATGCCTCTCGTTACTTCTAACCCATTGCATTCATGGTAATCTGAGGACAACGAAATGGCAAGTAGCTTTTCTATTTTAGGATTGAAGTAGATAAACCGATAGGGGCACTTTACAATATGAACATAAACCCCTGAATGTTTTTAAAGTCTGATTTAGTCACAGGCCTTGGCAGATGAAGACATAATTCCCCAATAAGACATTAGAATCCAAATCAAGATGTGAAATGTTTTAATAACCCGTTTATGTTCAGTTCAATGCCCAGAAATAATTTTGTGCGTACTGATCATGTGAATGATAGTGTTTCATAGCAGTGTTTGCTAACAAGGACGACACTGCAATACTGCAACAAATTAGAAATCAGAAAAACATCCCCTCTGTTATACAGTATTTCACTGTAAACTGGAAAGGCAATTTGTATACAAACAGGCAGATTGTCAAACATGGAAACAGCTAGGAAATGCAAATCTTTAACCCTTGTCTGCAAACCCAAGAGTGGAAATGCAGGAAGAATTTTTCCATCTTGCTCAGCCAGCTGAAGGAGCAGTTTGTTGGTGTTTATTTTGGCTGGTATTTCGCTGTGAGACACTATGCCCAACCCCACTCCTCCACCCTGCACTGGCACACTTCAACACTAGTATCTCCACACTGCATCTGATCAGAGAACAATGCTGCACTCATGTGTTTACAGAGACATTCTCAGCCCACCCCAACACTGAAAGTATAGCTTTTCTGTTGCTGACAGCTGTGTATTGATTTGGAGTTTACTTCTCTTGTCACTTACACAACATGACAGATGGGAACCTAAAAATAAAACGATACCAGCTATTTTTTTTTCATCCCTCTCCAGCGCCAGACAATACAGAAGAAAGGGCCTGGAGCACCACCCTGCGGTCTGAAAGACTTACTCGGTAATAAAGAATGAAAGGACAAAGCCTGCTATTAAAAATATCTTGTAAACCACCCCTGTAAATCGGGCTGATAAATATTTAAGAGCAAGACAGAGGTTTTAAACAGCTGTAAAATTATCTTCAAGTGCACAGTAATAACTCACATTGACAACGAGAGTCTGACATAAGGGCAAAGCTATGGATATCAACTTTGTCGTACAATTAATACCACTGTCTCTATACCAGTCACAGTTGTGTTCTCCATATAGATTTAAACATACTGAATGCACCCTGCTATGACAACATATACAATGTGGACATATGGAAAGGTAAAAGTTTTTTCAGTAGTTACTTAATTTCTGCATTGACACATTTGTTTCCTGCCTCACACCTATTGCTTGCTGGGACAGGCTCCTGCACCCCTGTGACCCTGCAATCGATGAAGCGGTCGGAAAATGGATGGGTGTATCTCTTGCTATTCCTTACTAAAATTCTATTCCCATTGTATGCAAATATACAACTCAAACAGATTGATCCACAAAGCACAATTTCAATCTCTTGTTCAGATTCCTAGGCTCTTGTTTTAGTGACAGGACTCTGAACAAGGCTGCCTTATAAGTTTTTGGGTTTTTTTTTATAATGAGCATAACATAGCAAGTGGAATTACACGCAGACACATGGGGACAGGCTGAACATTTTTGTGGAATCTGAAGGTCTTTCATTTTAGGAGCCACTTAGGAGCTGCCACATCTGTGAGAATGTAGAGCAAAAAGGTGTGTCAGTTTGCTTTAAAGGACTTTGCCTGTGAACAGACCGTTTTATAAAAACAGCAGAACTTGATGAAGCTCTTCTGTAGGCGATAACAATTTGGTACCTCTACAGCTGCAAAATTGACAAGGGTATATGTGCGCATTTGATGCGACCATCCATGCACACGCATTTAATCTTTCCATTTCTAAGCATGCATACATATACCTGACCACTGCTTTATCTGGCCTCCTGGGCTCTTGGGCACCTCTGGTAATTGGAAGGTTCTTAGTTCAAGATTCAGGTGAGGCCCTACTGTATGGCTGTGCAGATAGATTTTCCGTTACTAAAACCATCCTTGACCTATACACCACATTACAAAGAAGACTATCGTCTGAAAATAAATATCCCAGTCTAATATCAATGATGAACTGTTAATGTTATCAGAAAACGGGTGGGGAATTGTTCTTTCTGCGTTCAGGCACATTTGATCTGTTTTTCTAGTGCCACCTAGTGGATCAAACCCTACCTGTTAAATTGGACAGTAAGAATATACTGTAATAGCATGAAATATTCCATTATACTTCAAAAAAAGGCAATACTCACTGAAAATGTAACATCGTACTCTCCAGATGTGAATGGCTGATCTGTGAGATCGTCAAAGTATTCTGCTAAAGCATCCAGTGTTTCCTCAGCCAGTTTTTCATATGTAGCTTCCTCTAACACACTGCAATGTTGAAGAGAGCATTGGACAGTATTGCTGAAGTGGATGGAAATTAACTGTTTCTTTTACATTTTATTACTTCAGAAATTACATATTATGTTATCGGTTATTTAGTGTAAGAAAACTCTCACAGTAAAAATACATTACAGCCGCAATACCGTGCTAAAATGTTTCAGAATATAACTATTGCACGCACCTATTTATAGCTTCTTTGACTACGAATATAACGATCGCACTCGTTCAGTACAGTACAGTATGTTTTATAACTGGTTTGTGTTTCAGCTTTAGCTTTTTCCCCAATACCTTAAACTGGCGCAAAATATTCACCAGTTACCAAACAATATTTGAGAAAAGCTTTAATCAAAGTTTGTTACCTTAGATTCGATGCATTTTCTGTGGTGAAGTGAATATTTGCCCTCATTACTCTTCCAGGGAGTTGTGCCACAAGCAACTGAAATTAAGGATACCAGCAATAAGTTGACTCACAAGGCTCAATTTAATAACACCAAAGCGCTGGCCTGCCTATTTCGTTGTATAATCATCACTTGATAGCGACATAATCCAATCAGCTGCAATTAAAATACACAGCGAATTACCAATAGTAATTGCAGTAGATATAACTATCCCTAACAAACCACAAACTCCTGTCATCAGTCATCGACAGCGCTGTCCTTTCTTCTGTAACTGCAGGCAGGTTAGAGAGTTGCCGAACATCTGCTGCAAGTTGACTCGTTTGAACAATGAAATCCATTTAATCACAAAATAAGTAGTTAAATAATGAGACACGTTTGTAAGGGTCTGTCAATCTGAATGCACAACCTGCGGGGGCTCCCGGGCGCCTCCGTACTTCCCCAATGAAGACGCTGCCCACCCGGGTACGAGCCCGGCGCACCGGGGGCTCTGAAAGACAGACAGGCGCTTTACTGCAATGAGCCTCATGTTCTCCACCAGAAAAGCGTCAGCAGAAAGGCGGCGAGTCGACAAAATATGGTTTCCGCTTTCTAGGAGGTATAAATGAGCCAAGAAACTCCTCAACCTATTTCAGTGTGTCAAAGAATCAACAATCAAAACTCTTTGTGTTAGAGAAAAATCATCAACGTAGTTAAGAATGGAAAATGTATCAATTCAATTTGTTAATTCTACCGTTACTCTGCTATGCGTCTAAGGAGGTATTTATTCGGTATCATAAAAACAGACATTCAGCATTATTAAAGTTTTCATGCATATCGAACTACGTACATTGACCTTAGCGACACCGCAAACGCTGTACTTACATGAGTTGACAGGAATGTTTTAGCCCTCCAACACGTGTATGTAGCTGATGATGCATTCGGAGAAGTCAAGCTGCGTGCGAACTGGTAAATGCAGAACACTTTCCTACTCAATCCTGACATGGTCTCTAAAGGTGTATGACATTAAAACGCGACCACCTACTATGAGACCGATTGATAGGGTCTGAAACGATCGACTTCTCAAATTCGGTTGTATTCGTCTATCGTGATCTGTCCGTGTCCGGGTTTCCAGCAAATCAAACGGTGCCTGAGATCAGCCCCGGGATAGCCACGCCTCTGCCCTTGAAAAACTGTCAAACTCACTGCGTTATCACATGGCGTTCCCGCCGAAAGTTTAAAATGCCCATTTGAACCGCGTGCGTAGAATTGCTGTTCTTTGACCAACGTGTTAAGGAAATAGATTTGGTGATTTGACATTAAGACGTGGTATTTATTCCTATATATTCTATAGGGATAAACTGGAGAAAAACGGTCCTACAAAAACTTTAAATTACGCATACTACATTAAAAAGTGAGAGTATTAAACATTTTTATTTAATAGGAGAATTCCTAGGTCAGTGAGAGTAATTTGCATTAATTATGTTTAAAGCGTCTGTACGGTGGGCAGTTTTTCTTCACTCATTGACCACTATAATCATTAATATATAAACTAATTTGCCGTCTACCGAAATGAGAAAGCCTGCCATCTTTTGGCAGCCGATAGGTCCTACAAAAACAAAAAAAATGAAAGCAAAATGGAGAATAGGAGTTCTGCTGTACCAAACATCTCAATAATCCTTTAGCAATTGACATAATTTTGCAAAAAGGGAGCATATTTTTTTTCGATATGTAAAGAGCAGACATTGTAATGTTCATTAGTTGTCCAATAATGAAACAAGCTTTTAATAAACAGCTAGCTTCAGCTAGTCATTTATTTCACGTGCTCACATAATTGTTTTACACTTTTGTCCTGTCGTAATAGTGTCGTAAAGTAACCTGAGATGTCGCACAGTCCTGACATCTATTAGTACAATACTAGTGTATTTAAGTTGCATTGCTAAATATAATTACAGATATATTAAATACAATTATGTTTAGAGAATAGACAGATAAGACTTTATTGATCCCGAAGGGAAACTGAGGCATTACAGCAGCCCAGCCCAAGACAAGCAAGACAGACATCAGAATAGACTAAACTTAAAATAAGTACAACAATACAAAATAAAATAAATAAGAGTTAGGTGTGTGCAAAATATGCTAATAGTCACTGTAAAACAATAAAATACGTGCAAAATGCGCATAGGTTGAAAAAAACCCACAGTATAAACAGTATATTAATGCAGTGTCCAAAAAGTACATGAGTGCAACATGCTGTCCATAGATGAGCAGATGAGCAGATGAAGGGCTTATAGGCCTAGCCTAGGGCAGTGTTATACACCCTGACAGCCTCTGGTAGGAAGGACCTGTGGAAACATTGCCTTGAACACCGTAGCTGGAGCAGTCTGTCACTAAAAGTGCTTTGCTGTCTAATAACAGTCCCATGTAGCGGCTGTGAGCTTGGTCAGCATTCTTCTCTCTTCCACCACCTCCGGGGGGTCAAGGCAGAGCCAGCCTTCATGAGGAGTCTGATGAGTCTATTGAGTCTATTTATATCTCTTGCCATGATGCTGCTGCCCCAGCACACAACAGTGTAGAAGATGGCCGCTACCACCACTGATTCATAAAAAAATGTGTAGCTCAGGTTGAAGGTGTACTGCAGCACTCCACCCCTAAACCACCACCAGTGTGCAGCCCCACCAGGATGATGCGACAGCAGCCATAGTGCACTAGTATGCTCACCACACATCGGCTATCAGCAGGGAGGAGAAGCCAGTTCAGAGAGGGGGATTATTAGGAGGCCATGGTAAAGGCCAATGGGAAATTTGGCCAGGATGCCAGGGTAACACCCCTACTCTTTTTTAAGAAACAACCACAGACCAATACTCTATAGGTCTTGGACCTAAGATTTACATCTCATCCAAAGGACGGCACCTTTTTAAAGTACAGAGTCTCCGTCACTATACTGGGGCATTAGGACCCACACGGACCGCAGGGTGAACGCCCCCTGCTGGCCCCACTAACTCCTTCTCCTTAGTATTTCCCCCAGGAAGTCTCCCATCCAGGTACTGACCAGGCTCACACCTGCTGAGTTTCAGTGGGTTGCTAGTTGTGAGTTGAAGGGTGACATGGCTGCTGGCCAATAAAATGGCTTATAAGACGTAGGTTCAGCGACAACTGGTGGAGAGTCACGTCTATACCTTTTAGCTAGTGTGCAATTGTGAGGTTCATTGTGCTTTCAAACAAATGTGATTGCTAAAAAATGCTGATTGTCCTGGATTATTTCTAAACTAGGGACAGCATCTATTGCGAATTTATATCAGAATTTTGTGAATATGTTCAGTTGGACTCCCTCCACAATAACGTGACATGTTCAAAACGTTCACGCAGCAGCAGGTAAAAAAAGAATATACACATTTATGAAATCTCTCCCTACCACCAGAAAGCTGCTTTATAAATTATTTTACACTGAAAAATGCATTGTATGTTTTTGAGTATACAACTGTTCTAGAAATTTACAGTTACATATGTCTGTCTGTTATATATCTGACTGTGAACAGCTGGAATCTAGAATAATCAGTTATTCACACATGTTCAGTTGAGGAGAAGTGCTGTAAATATGTTCTCCGTCTAAAATGCGTGCTTTTCAATCTTCGCATTTTCTTGTTCGATAAACACACAAAGCGAACACTAGAGGGCGCACATAATCTACATTCAGTTTTTTTTTAAAGTCGTGTCTTGTCAATTTCAAATCATGCAGTACGGCTCAAATATTTTTTACAAGCTAGAGATGACTTAATTCGGTACCCTGGGTTAACTACAGTATTGGGGAGTTGGACGTCAACGTTTAAATCATGTGCACGTGTCAACAGATGTAGTTTTCCACACAATGCCTGTAGTGAATTTTGACAGTGATCCGCAAGGAAGACAACAGTGGAAGAAAGATTAACCCAATATAATTCTGCATAAAGGATTTTAATTTTACATATAATCGTTTATTTTCTCTATAAATATGACCTTTTTACATTTCAAGAATAAAATATTTTCATCTTCAGCAAACAATTATTCAATAAATTATGGTCTCTTTCCCCCAAAAAAGTTGTGGTCATGAACTTCAAGGACACTATAATATAGTCCAAGAGGAAATCATTAAATAGCTTCAGTGTTAAAAATGCACTATCGCTTAGTCTTTGCTACGTGATATAAAGATACCTTTCGATGAAGTATCCTGAGAAAATATACTTTGTGACATGGTAAAAAAATACCACCAAAACCTTCTCTTGTGCAAACAGAAATGGTACTCACCTAACCAGTAAGTTAATATTTCTCTAGTCCATCTATTTAGTTATCTTTACTAGTAAAGCTCAACTTTTGATCTAAGCACTGGTGAAATATTTTTAATTTGTGCAGTGCTCAATGCTGTGTTATGATTTCTGAACCCATTCCCATTCCAATTAATAATATTTCAATATTTCTGACATTTCAGAAAACTTTAGGCAAAACCTCATTAATTTCAGCAGTGTTAAACATTTCACATTATGTATGGGCAGACTGTCCCAGACAATGGAATTTTCAAATGTCTCTTATAATATATTAAATATAACAATTGGACGATACTATTTACAACACATCATAATTACACATATTTGCATTTGACTGGCATTGGAAGAATTTAGCAAAGCCTTTGGAGTGCCTGCAGGTATATATCAAATTTAGCCTAATTTATCCTTTAGAAAGGGATAGTGCAGTTTTAATAAAATAACCATTCTGCTTTTCTAAGAAACCACCAGTGTAAACTTCATTTCTTAAAGCAGGCTTCTATAAAGCATGTGCAACAATATTAAATTGCATAAATCAGTTTCAACCAGCAGAAAACAAAACCTTCAGTCAAACAAATACACACACATATATATATATAAGTGAAAAGAAATATAGTAAAAGCTTTTGGCATTGAAGGACAGATTTGGCAAGCCCTAAGAAGCAAAATAACAATATTCACTCTTATCTGGATCTAAACACATGCAAATGAAATCACATGTAATCTAAACCGATTTACACCAAAGTGATGATTCCAGTCTTTCTTTCCTTGTCTATGATGAATTGGCAATAATTCATGTTAGAAGAACATAGCAGCTCTGATATGGATGTTGGGCACGTGACCACCAGACAGGGCTGTTGGGATGGGGCCGCTGGTTTGCATGAAGACTACACAGTGTCCAGTGGAGTGTCCTCAGTGTTGGTCCCTAGGGGAGAGACTGTTCCTGTGTTTCCAGGACACTGGAGTGGATAAAATGCAATTATCCGATGGTAAGCTGGCTGTCACAGATTACTGTAAAAAAACAACAAAACACAATATTAATTTGTGGTAATGTGAAAAGAAAGAGGTAGTTAAGCAAGGGTCAATTTTTTATTATTCTTATGATAAAGATTAATATTCTCCTGTATTTGTAATAGAAACGTGACCACCAGGGATTGTATTTTCTCTGAAAAGAAATAATTTCTAAATCCTATTAAAAAAATACATTGCACATTTTCTCAAACATATTCCAAGAACGGTGAATATCTGTTAAATCCATTGCTTTTTTTAACAAACACACAACACTTGTGATCAGCTAGTTTACTGGTTTGAGTTAATCTCTTTGTAAACAGAAAGACATTATCTAGAACAAGAGCAAATTTCCAAATGCAAAACGCAATGATTGCCCACAGTAAAATCCAGGACTAAAGGACTGAACAGTAGGGTGTGCTGCTTTGACCAAGACTGAGATACTCCTCTTTTACTTCTCTCGTTGGTGTCTGTTTACTACAGAGCTAACTCCACACCAACCAGCATGCTACCATGGCAACAAAGACAGACGATTTCATGGCCAGACAGCAACTGACGGTTTGGTAAATAACAATTCTAGAGTAAACTGGACCAGAGGAATGGAGGTGTGAATGTGTAAATGTTCACCGAAATGCATAAACTAACCAATGTAAAATCTATAATAAAATAGTGTACATAAAACAACATTCTGCTTACCCTGCTGCTGAAAAATTTAAATTGGACGGTAATGGATGACAAACTGTCTACAGAAGAAACTGAAGATTACTTACTAGCATAAGGAATGGTCAGTACTGCTTAAGTAAGAGGTTGGTGTGCAGATGTCCATTTAGGGTGTAATTTGGCTTGGCTTGTATGAGACATTACATGTTAAGGATCATTTTCTGTGATTACCTTGCAAGAGATGATTTGAACATTTTTGCAATTGGTTTCTATTGTAATCACTATCTTGTACAGTAGTTGGTACTCTTAAACCAAACAGTTTACTATATGTATGACGAAATATTTGCAGCAGTTGTCATAGTCTTGTAGACTGTAATTAACAATTGATAATTATGGAATAACAGTGAAGGCCACTGTTGTCACTGTTGCCTGACTATAATATACATACAACATGGCAAATTTAGCGAAAGAAAACTGACAATATGCTGTACTAAGACCATGGATAAAACGCTTAAAAGAATAACTGTTTCTAAACTAGATTCTAGTTCTTTGCTGTATGTTTTACTTCCCTGTGAGGTTAATAGTGTACAGGGATAATGGGTTTAAAAACATATGTGTACCTGCATTTATGACATTATTTGATAAACAAAACTATCAAGAAAATGACTTGTCTGTTATTTAAAGATGTATAAATAAGGATTCATACTGACATGATACATGTAAGGAAAAGAACTCCTGTCACTGTTCTGATTTTTAGAAAACTCCCAAGGAACTCAGAAGCCAATTTTCCAGGTGAATGGACTGAAACTGAACGCAGGCTGGCATCTCAGCAGTCTGTCTACTCAAGACAGCGGGCTGTCACAGCAACACTGCAATTCTGACTCCAGAAATGCAATTCGCTCTCAGTGCAGACGTTTCTCTCAGCTTGTCCTTTCTACGCCATTTGTGATCTGGGATGAATGCAAATCATTTGCGGTGACCACAGCCCAGTTTCCATCATACTGATACTCCATATGGAAAAAAAACATTTTGGTTGTGAAAACATAATTGTTTTACTTCTAAAAACCGAGTAAAGAGCCATAGTGGCTTCATTAGAATCTAGTTCAGAAACCAGTGAATGCAGGTTTAATGATGAGCAAAGGAACTGTGAAACCCCACATTCTGGAATATTCCAAAACCGATGCCACCTTATTAGGGAATACATTTCTCTAGGTTGAAATGACTTTTCTTGTCTTGTATGTCAAATAAATGCAAGTCTGGGTTTCAGCACTGACAAAGCCTTTAGCAGAAAAATATTTTGATAGATTAGTATTACATCAGGTATGTCTTTCTTCCCTCAACATTTCTGATTTTCAGAAGCTTCTAGGTATTTTCAAAAGGCTTTCAAAAGCCTTTTTTGTGAAGATGCCCAGAGTGATGTCATAGAACAATAAGACCTTTGTGTGCACAGCAGATTAAGAGCAACTAAACACCACAATCACCTTCAGCTAAACCTCTATAGCGAACTGCTCTATTGTCCTGACTTGCAACTATTCAGGGAAAAGGAAGAAGGAAAGGAGAGCATCGAGGTTACCAAGACCAGATTTCACAGTATATGACCTGATATGTCCCAAGACAACACATGGTCAGCCTGTCAGAGAGAGTGCTTATCTGTGTATTTTCTGTCACCTTTGGTTTTGTGAAACATAGACAAATGCAAGGGAGAGCCAATGACGTTTAAGAACCGTTTTGTCTTTAATTGTCTAATTGTTCATCTTCCTCAACCATGTTTTTGCTGTCTATTGTGAATTTCATGTGCTTAGACCTCAGGAGCCACCTATTAATAGAGAGGCCTGTCATAACAGAAAAGTAGGTGGGCTAGGTCTTTTAAATCTAAAGACTGAAATGCCATTTCAACAACATATTATAAATCACAATGTCTTGTGCATTTTCACCTATGTATAGAACATTGATGTGCCTCCATTTTCATCCCATACAGGTCCATAATAAAAGGCAAAGCAAAACCTGAAATCTGAAAGTATGAAGGAACTGCACTCCAGTTCTTAATCTAGAATATACTTTTAATTGGAGGCAAACTTGGTGATTGCTACTTACCAAGTAGACATCAAGCACTGAGCCATCATCTTTGTCAATATCCAGCGTGCTCTGTTCCGATGTCAGACAGATAGCACTGTCCTCTAAGGTAAACGTGGAACTGGAGGCCAACATTTCTCTAAATAAACAAAATAGAAAAAAGATAACATCATATTTTCACAGCAAAGTAGCACTGATGCGTTAAATAACTTCTTTCTTGCCAGCTCCAGTTATTTGGATCAGCTCGAGGGTTATATTTCAAGAAAATATTTTTGGGGTTTCAATATAGCATCAGACATTATGAGAATTAATTTCCTAACCTATCACCTGATTTTGCCTAAAAATGTCTTTTTCAGCAGTATATTGTATAAACACGAGCACACAGGCAAGGCTATAAACAGAGGCCCTGTGACCCTGCTTGCTTGTCCAGTAACTGTTTATTCCAAGAATCTTATTTTGCTGTTTTCCCTGGAGTGCAGTGAATTAGCTGCCATGGTAGACTATTCCACGCACAGTTAAGGGACATCTCCATTCAGAAGAAATATGCGTTCAACCTACATTTTCAATCAGTGGGGGAACTCATCAAGTCCTCATTTACACAGGACTGTATAATATCAACACTTAATAGAGTTTTAAACGTTTGTAAGGATTTCAAACCTCTATCTCTCTCTCAATTTCGTATTAATATCCCGCTTCTTTTTCACCCACTTGCGTGTTTCGTATCCCTCCCTCCATCCCATCTCAGGTCTCCCCTGACAGGGGCTCCCGGCTTACCACTCGTTAAACAGGGAGATTATGGGGCTTCGCCAGCCTCCTCCTCACAGGCTGGAAGTCGTTCTCTCAGCCAGGGAATTAAGCCAATAAACTATTTGTGCCTTTTATGGTATTTTACTCAGCAGTAACCATCCAATAAAAGGGGCTGTTATCTAAGGTGGATTATTTACAGTTTTTGGATACCTTTAGTAGGAAAGTCTGGTTCTTTTGAAATTAAATACCTGTATTGCAAATATGAACAAGAGTCCAGCACATTAATTGTTCTGTGGGATATGTAGGCTTGAACCACATTCAGTACTAAGAGTAAATGTTTTGCAAAGTGCACTGTGCAAGCCGGAATATCATGTTATGAAATACAGATTCCTACTGTAACTACAACGAAACAATGGCAAATGCTTACACTTTACTTTCGTAATTACAGCTTTATGCTCTTTAAGATGTTAATCCTTAAAACTAAACCTTAAACCATAGCAACCCATTCTACGTAACTAATGGTTTAACGATTTTATGTTTATGTGCAGCACTAGCCTAAACCTGATGTTTAGTTAGCAGAAACTGTTCTGGGTACAGTTGTATAACAAATTCATAAGACATGGCCTATAAATAACAAAATTCCATTACAGCTGATTTAATTTTTTTTAAGAAAATGGGAACAGTAGTTGAAGTGACATGGACACAAAATGACAAAATCTACTTCATTGGAAAGAGACAATTCATTGGCCTTGGCCACTAAAAAAAGTTTGTGAAACAGGACGAACAACGTAACACAGGAAATGAAAATAACGAAAAATGAATTTAACAGCTGTTGAACACGAGACCTCGGTGTTTGGAAGAGATAGACCATCTGAGCAGTCTACAGCAGCAGTACGTAGTGAGTGTGTCTCATAACAACTACCAACAGGGGGCCGTCAGACTCCTGTAATGTCATTATGTCACATGACATGCACGTCTCAGGTAGAAACAGCTGAAACATTCATTATCAACACAATGCAAATGTAACAGAATGGGATAAAGCATGTAGCCAGTGGATCCTCATGTCATTTTTCCAATGGCCTCCTCTCACTTGTAACTTTTCTTATGCTCTCATGTTCTACATGTTTGCACTCACAGATAATTAATAATTTTTTTTAACTCTAAACGACATCTGTGCTGCACTTGTTTCCCTGCTTTTCGGTTGCTTATCATCTTCCCAATTTCAGTCTTCCTTTAAAGCGATCTTCTCCAAGCCCTTGGGCCTGACAGTAACACCATTTGGGGGTTTTATTTTTGCTGCACTGTCACACTCCACATTACACCCCTGCTTTTGCCAAAGCCTGCTCAGCCCAGGTTATCTGTCATGGCCAGAGGTTTATGGTCTGTAAGACAGAATGACAGGCAGGGTTATAGAGGGAATCTATTTTGCCCCAAGAGTTCGGAGAACCCTCTACCCACTATAACCCTGACTGTTGAAGTTTGGAGTTTCCTCCAAAGAGGGTGCTATACTGTATTTCCAGGTAGGTAGAGGGAATGCTAGCTAGTTGGCCTCCAGTGTGATGAGGCTCAGCCATTTATCACCCTGCCTCTCAGGGTAAAAAAGGACATACAGTAGCAAGCACAGCCTCTGGTCTTGTGATGGGCAGACGTTCTGGAAAAGTAGAGAACAAATAACATTTTCCGGCCATGTAAGTGAGATAGGGCTCCAAAGGTGGAGCTTGGTTTAATTTTGCAGACCCTGGTAAAAGCTTGAAGCTTAATCTAGTGACTGTCACACCTGGTACAGGGCTGACTGAGTGAGTGAGTCTCTTGGTATCTCGGCTCAATACCACATTTCCTCTTTGTACAACAGCAGAACCTGCGACAGGTGATATATTCCACAGCACATCGAGCTAGGCAGGGAATCGCACTAGTCTTGGAGAGATGGGCACAGATAAGCATTGTTCATTCCACATTAAGAATATCTGGGTACCCTACAGTAAGTACAACACCATAAATAATCCTTAAATGGAAAAATGTATTCCACTGGGTTAGTTTTGTTCTGTGCATAAATAGCCGAATGTTAATAAATCTGAGTAATAGTATGTAATGCTCAGATGTTTGCTATCTTTACGTCATTGTACTAAAAATAGTTACAAGGTGTGAATAATTATTCACAGCTGGAAGAAAACTGCTTTTACCCACCCCACTGAATGCAAGCTCAGAATGTTCTTAATACCTGCAGTTTAATACATTGTTTTTAATATGTAGCAACTTTCAAGTTTAGAGTGGTAGATAGTGTGTTTTACAAGCAATTGCTTATGTAAGTGTAATTAGGCAATGTAAACCATCCAAAGAGCATTAAGTCCTGTGTACATCCACACAGTATCACAAAGTAGACTTGTTTTGTAATGACACATCCAAACTAACTTAGCAAATCGTCTGCAAAAGATGGCCTGCATATCTGTTGATCTACTACATTTGCAGGGCTTTCTAAGGAACTCATGAGTCGTGACGTCAATGTTACAATGTCAGACAAGAGCCTCGCTCCCCCAGGGACTGCATGGGTATAAAGCAAGCTCTTGAATTCTTAAAAGTTGCCCTGGCAGCTCTTAATTGTTTGTATTAGATTCATTGTTTGATCTACCCTTGAGTCAGAAACCTTTTGTTTAACTTGCAACGATGTCTTTAGAGAATTAACTGTTAAGAGAACCACTTAAATATTTAATAGTTAAGGGGACGGAAAATAAATCGACATATAAAATGTACAAACCGAGGAGAGCAATACGGGTAAAAAGCTGCACCAGAAGGTCACATTTAATTGAGGGCTTTTAAGAAGAACCATGCTCAGACCTAAATCAAATTACATCTAATCAAATACATGTTGGCAGAACTCGGTTGGAACTGCCTTAATTTGAATGCAGCTGGCTGGCGAGGCTGTCCGAGACGCACCTGTAGGCGGAGTCGTCGGGGTCACCCGCCAGGCAGGGCTCGTTGCCGTATAAGGAAGAGGACGAGATGGTGGTTACCATGGAGGCGGCTTCAAACAGAGCCGGAGGCTGTGGAACGAGGTCAGGCTGAAGATAGGACCCAAACACTGAAACAGAATATGCAGTGTGTGGTTAAAAAGGGTGGATCGGTTTACTGGGCTCTCGACAGCTGCGATACTAACGTCTACTAGGGACAGAGCAAGAGCCCTGTTAAATTTGCTGCGAGACCTAAGCTGTACCAGAAAAGTCCTCAGAAGGTGCCAATACAGCTCCTGAGAAGAAGATCCCCTCCAGCCCTGTGAATCTAATACTTAAAAACATGTTTGTTGGGAAGATCAGTACTATCTCAAGGTGAATCTGATAAACATGTTGTTGGGTAGAAACCTAGGAGTAGCTCACACTTCCCAACTATGGTGATGCTCAGGGGACTGTGTGATGCCCATAGTGGTATCCCAGGAATGGACAGCTAATGAATCAGAAATATTCGGATTGCAGGTCTCGAAAAGTAAACTTAGTAAGAAGTTTTACTATTTGAGCCATTCCGCAAACCCTGGGGTTGTGCTGTTAAAGTACGTAGTTTAACTTAGTTTAGCATTTAGTACAAAAAATAGGAAATATAGCTTAGACATCTTTATATTGTTATGACTTACGTATCTGCATTATCAGTATTTAAAAATGGTCATTTATCAAGATAGAACAGTCAAAAAATAAAAAAATAAGGTTTGCCATTCAAAAAGAACATGTTGCCACATTTTCTCTGAAGGTCTCTGGCATGTAACCAAAGCTTTTGAAAACTACAGAGCCATGGTTTACATAGTTGCAAGGACAGGAGTATCATTATTGCTGTTGTTGAATTTCAGTGGCAGTGGGCTTTGTAGAATGGAAAGAATAAAAGCCCCCACATGTGAACAAATAACTTCGCTTGACATCTGTTTAGAAACTGCCGCTGAAGGACGTTGTGCTGTTGCTACGATACCTTCCATAACTTTAAACAAGTCATAGTTAAATTAAAAAATATACCCTGAGCGTCCAAAGAAAGTTATCAATTACAGCTGCAACACATTCACAAAGATATTCAGGAAAGTGACTTTGTAGAAGGTGCGTTGTCAATTTATTGAACAGACATGACAGAAGTAAATTCATTAGGCTGCTTAAAACTGGTCATCAACAGGTATGTTCAACAGTGGGTTTCCTGTGAAAATGACAGACTGATAGCCTGCATAGTGGCCCCTGCCTGAGACAACGCAAACTGTAAACCTGTATTGATTTGCACCAAGTAGCAGATTCTGACTTCTGGGATTCAGTCGCAATCCTCTAGTATATCCTGCACAGGCAAGTGCCATTTCGCTGGTCTCTGAGGCCTAGACGGCACATGTTGTCCCCGTTCATCCGAGAAATGTTTAAAAGAGCTCAAGTCTGGCCAGCAGGGTACCATCGGAATAACTTACATGTTGAGGACCTGCACTTTTCTGTTAGAATGTCAAATCAAGTTGAGCTCACATGAAGGACAGTACGTGAGGCGCCAGGACTTGATCAATGCAGTGCCATGCATTCAGTTTGCCACCAATCAGTACAAGCGGGGTTTTGTAGTGGATAGACACTCTTTCCCAGGTCTTCATCCCTGAACATCCACAATTTTGGTGTTGTGACTCAGGGTATCTATCTCAGATATTGGCTTGATGGACTTTGTTCTTCTGTATCATCTTGCCAGATTAGACATTTCTGGCTACGAACATCCTAGATGACGCGCTTCCAAAATATTGATGGATCCAAGACATTTTTCTGTTGATGAATGGGGCACAAGGGTCCCATTCAGTGTTTTTTTCTTGATTTTTCCATAGGCTTGACATTCAAATGCTGGTATCTTGGTATATTAAATCAACACATCACCTGTGCATGGTTAGCTATCTCTCTAATGAGGTGATTTAGTGCTTATGCAGCAAAGTCACTCAAGTGTATTAGCATCAGTTATGAATGTCTATACCATTTAAGTTATATAAAAATCTATTTTCCTTTTTACTAAATACATACAGTATATCGGTAGTAGTTCAGGTGGGTAGCTGCGTCAGCATGCGTAGGGTGCAAAGGAACAAGTAATAGGTTTATTCCATGCTGAAAAAAAGAAAGAAAGAAGGAAGGAAGGAAAGAAGAAGAAGTTCTCTTTCTTCTTTTTTCAGCATGGAATAAACCTATTACTTGTTCCTTTGCATACAGTATATCCATTGATTCGTTTCAACATTTAACTTGGGTGTTTCTTTTTAAAACAAATCTGTTCTCTAAGTATCTCTAGGATTGCAGGAAGGCTTCAAATTGGCATTATTCACTGAAATGCATTTTTTACTTCATTAAATGCTAAAGAATAGAACATTTCATTTTTGTTATATTAGTTGTATATCAACCTACATGCATACTACTGATATACTGTATCTTTCCTTGCAAAGAACTGTTGTTTTTGGCATTGGTATGGTGTTGAATGTTAGGGCACTCTTTGAAGTAATTTGTGAGGTAGAGCAGAAACCAACTTAAAATGCTATAAACTACCACAGAATGGCCCATACTGGCAAGCTGCAAGACTTTCTGACAGTTTTTTTTTGTCAGGAAGTAGAGGTTTCATGACTCACTGCATTATTGCAGTATGTTGCAACCCACACACTACAGGGGACACTACAGGAGTATATTCTAGCCATATCTACAGTACCACCACCACTGAAATCCCACATTCAGTTTTGTCAACCATTAGGTTATGGTCCTGATCTTTCATTACTGGAAGGCACCTTCTCATGTTCATACATCATCATATGCCACCAAAAGAAACAGGAACCCAGAAAAAGAGTGCGATAAAATACTTGCAAATCGCGTTGCACCTTTAGAACACTTGAGTATATCACACATTGTAGAAGACAATAAGTTAACAATAAAATAACAGTTGGTCCAAATAAGAATGGCAAAGTGTGTGGCAGCTTAGTTTCATTTCAAGCCACATGGGTATCTCACTGCGTGGCCAGGTAATGTTTCCAGGCGGGGCTGGTGCCACAGACAACAAGCACCACAAATAATTGTTACAGTTTGTTGGATGATGGTGAAAGCTGGTCAGGGTTAGGACTCCATGCATGGATACAACTACAGGGTTATCTTCTGTTCCAATTTAATCTCGCCAGTCAAAACTGAAAGCATGTTTAGGGGAGGAGCGGTGGCTCTGTGGCTAAGGATCTGCGCCTGTGGCTGGAAGGTTGCTGGTTCAAATCCCGCATCCGGCAGAGGAGTCCTACTCCATTGGGCCCCTGAGCCAGGCCCTTAACCCCAATTGAGAGGTTTCCCTGTATTTGTTTTGCCAAAATACGCTAAGAGGAGCCCTGAAAAGCTCAAAAAACGAAAACTGGACTTTTCATTAGTCATTCACTTTCTGGGTTTCTGCCTTTTTAACAGTCAACATTAAACATCAATGAAAATAAAAAAAAACTGCCACTCAGGAGCTTTAATAATAGAATTAGAAAGGTCAGGCTGAAGTCAGGGGAAGGCCAGGGCTGATGAGACGGAGATGCCTTGCGTTTAAAGGAGAGTTCAAGGCTGCCAGCTCATACAGGTGAATAATGAAATTAGTGACCCCGGCCCTAATGTCCTGATGCCCTAGCTGTTTTCCCCATAAGCAACCCACGTACGAGCTTTATTGCAGATGGAGCATCACTGTGAAGCACGTCCGACCCTGCGACTGTGATGAAGCATCGGATTTTGCAAAATGGCCGTTCTTGGTTCTTGTACCTTGTCCATCCAGGCTGGCGAGGCTTCGGGCGCCACTGAGCCTGTCCTTCCTCTCCTCGGACCGCTCTTCGTTCGGGGAGGACAGGATCTCCTGCGAGGACGCCTTCAGCGCTGGGATGGAGTTCCGCGCTCTCTTCGAGGGAGAGCATTTGATAGCTGGGGGAGGCAGAGGGGAGAACGTCACCGACGTGGAAGAAAACGCTGCAGGACCTTGAGAATCCCCACCTCCAGTTGGTATGGGGGAGGGGGCAGTTATTGCCATCACATTGTTATTATGTAGAAAGAGAATTATTATTATAAATAGTTAGAAATTATTATCAACTCAGCAGAACGATCAAGAAATCGTTCACACATACAAGTTTCATTTAGGTACGTGATACAGGCCTGTGGTGTGCACGTACGTACAAGGAATCTTTTTCTAAAGTAATCCTCAATATTTTTTTTAATAGAATTCGCACTGGAACAGCTGTGCTTGTTTCCTTGTTCTTTAGACTTGGCCTTGTGTTATTTAGGTCGGCCAGTAAGTCAATACAAAACCAGTAAATGTAAGCTTAATGACCGTCAGCAAAGCCACAGCCACATTTCCTTTCCATAATTCAAAGACGCACGTGGTATATATTGAAAGTCTTCTACACAATTCTAATCACACTATCTTTGTGTTACAGTAAAATGCAGTAAATGCGGCTCCGTTTAAAGGTTTCTGCTGCACAGGCTGTGGTAGATTTGTTAGCAAACTTTAAATTTTTAATGTATTTTCTAGTCTTATTTTTTATTTTTCAGTCTCTTGGCTGGCGACCAAGAGGGATAAAGGCATAAAAACGGCCTCTGCCGTTCCTCTGAGATAAGAAATGAAGAGTATCACTGAGGTTACACACAGCTCGCTCCCCAGGCTCCCCTTTCACACAGGCCGGGCCTGCAGTTTTCTGAACAGAAACTGTATACAGCAAAAACAGCAGAAATGAGGAGGAGGGAACCTGCCAAGTTTCAATACTTTAAGTCTCTCGTCTGTGGTTTGGAACACGTGAGGCAAATTTAAACTCTGTGTTGTAAATTTATGTAGATATAATCAGGCAAAATATGTTTATGGAAATTAGTGGGGACAAAATCGAGATGTGGAATTGGAACCTGACTTTAGTTTCTTCTGATAAACATGTCATTGACTGCGACATATAAAGTGCAACACTTTATTTAAAACATCCTTTCACTTGCAACAGTTGGAAAGAATCACTGATGAACACTTACTGTGTATCTTCTTGAATACCCTAGTACTCATGAATTTTAAAAATCTGTTTGCGTAGAAGCCAGGCCTATGTACTGACACCGAATCCTAAAAGATAGAAAAGGTACAGTAATTGTAATGTTTTTCAGAATAAAAACACAAAAACATGAAACATAAAGCTAATTAAAGAAATACAGTACCTTCAATAAAACATGTTCTACATTAAATCATTTAATTTCTATGTTCTTTTACAAGAAAAATTAGGAACGTTTATCTCCATTAATTGCCTTCAATGAAATAGTACAAAACTTTGGCTCCAGGGTTATAAGACGCAATTAATGCTTTAATAATGAAAAGATTTAATAACTTACACCATCGTATACAAGAGCCTTCCAGGAGTGTTCCAGCTTCTTAATCAACCTTGAAAAAAAATGAAGAACCTATAAGGATCTCACCAAGTAATAGAAAAACAAATTCAATTGTTTCGCTTTGGCACTAAATAAGCTCTCTTGTCTGTTGTTATGGCCAGAGGTGAGGAATGATGGTGAATCTGACAGCTGGCACAGTGCTTACAGACACCATAAGACAATGTAACTGCTGAACCACAACAAACTGTGGGATGACTCTCATAAAGAAAATGATAAAGACTAGCACAAACCATTCCACTACTATTAATTTAGTAAAGATACAAAAAGACATTAATGTCTAGTATCACTTATTCTAAATATTCTAAAGCAATCTTTAGCATCACAGCTGATCCAGTCTTAACATTTCAACTGATATGTTTTCAAGTACAAACACAAAAATCATACCTGTACGACTGTAAAATGTCAATAATACCAAGGAAGATAAGAAGCTTTTCATCCTTGTGTGTTTTGGCAGGAATGCCCCCCATTCTGTAGGAATGATACAAAATGGAAATAAGTATTTTAAGAGAGCTGTCACATCCGACTGTTTATATATTACTGAAATAAAGACACACAGCCGATGAGAGTCAAGCTGCATCTTGTTATAATAGGAATAAGAAAGGGCAGAGTCAGTGTGTGGCTTTTTGCTGCACTTCAATCATTCTCTTTTGTTCTGTGTACCACCTTCTGCAATTCATCTGTTTCATCCCCACTGTAAGTATATGGTTTTGTGTTGAGTATGCAAGAGATTGTGAACCTTTTCTGAAACAAGTCTTCAAGCACAGCCTTCCAGTCCTATACATCATCTGCTACCTTTATCACTGCAAGTGTAGAACACAAACAGCAGGGTTTCCATGCCACGGAACAGGGATGTCCTTTATTAGTATCAGACAGAACCGCGGGCCCTGACCAGTACCATTGAACGCATGTGTCTTCTTGAGACAAGCATGCAGCAAGTCACCTTTTCCACCATCGAGAGTGAAAACCCATGGCTCACTAGACAAAGACCTCGATCTAGACTACAGAGCTCATCTTGAACAATAAATGATGCTTTTGCTGGGTAATTTATGCAGGACTCCTGTGTCATATTTTTTACATGGAACATTTCTCTTGATTATCCTGGTTCCGTAATAATTCACTCTTCATTCCCGACTCCTGCATGTGACATTTAAATGTTGCCTTTTGTACTCCATAGGACTGTGATTTTAACGTCTTATGCACCGCTCATTGCTTATGAAAAATCTGCCGTTTGAGCAGCTGGGTCCAATACAACGATAGAAACAACGTAAGGCAGGGGTTTCTGCATGCTAGACTGGACCACTCACTGACTCAGACTCTTCCAACAGCAGCCATGAAGACAATGGCATTGACCAGTCGGACTGTATGTGACTCACACCGGACTTCACTGCCAAGTGGGACTTACGTGTCATCAGTGGTCACTGCTTCCCCGGACTTGCCTCCTCCTTGGATGGACTCCATAGCGGTGGAGTACAGCACCTTCTGGGCTCCTGGGCGCTTCCCATCCCCTGCCGCCTGTGCATTATCCCCGTCCCTCTCCTTCGGGCACTGATCCAGCACGTGAACTCCTAGCAGCAAACTGTAGTCCATGATCTTAAAGCTTTCCAGAACCTAAAGGCATGGATGGAACATGACTATTAAGCAGAGAAAGAACTCAAACAAAACTGCAAACAGCAGCAAAAAACGAAACCGTGTAATCATAACAATTCGCAAAGCTTCTCGATCAGGGGTGCCCAACCAGTCAATCGCTGAGTGATTGCCAGTCGATCGATCGCAATGTTTGGCAAAAATAAATGGGCTCTTTGACTGTTTTCCTTTTTTGATAGCCTAAAATTTCATTCAGATCTATGCATGTAATGTCATACATTTTACTGCTCTTGTGTGTGTTTAACCCTTGTCGAATGGGTTGTAAAAGTCTCTTCCCTGCGTGCCGGATGATACTGAAAAAAGGGCTACAGGAACTCCGTAAATAAAGTGTTGTGTGCGCTACCCAAGAACGTTCTCTTGGCTATTGCCGCACGACCCCCAGATTCGGTACATGGTATAGTGGAGCGAAACAGACTGGCCGTGACAAATTCACCAACAGTTTGATTGCCTATTTGATAGTTGTAGTGTTTGAGCGAAAATGATGAAGCAAAGAGGCCAAAAACTCACCCTTACCACAAGGATTGGGAGCATGATTATTATTATTTTACTTTCGCGTTCAAATCTGCAACGCTAGAGTGTACGCGAAAAAGGGAAATATATAGAACACCATTTCAGAATTGCACACAAAACGTATGATGCTAAAAGCGAGTTACGGAAAAGGAAAGTGGAAAACTTAAAATCTCAACTAGTAGCAGTCGGTTTTCAGGAGGCCTAATACAAGAGCGAAAGGGGCAATCATCGCATTGTTCCGTGTGAGCCACAGTTTGGCTAAACTTAAAAGGTCAGTCAGGGATCGTGAAGTAATAAAAAAGTGTTTGCTGAGGCTGCTGACTTGCTGTTTGGAGATTTCAAAAACAAAGATTTTGGGCAAGGTTCAGACAGCTGTTGCCTGAAATCCGAGCTTCTCAAGTCGTCTAAACATAGTGAATATGCCCAATTAGAGGATGACCAGTGACGTCTGGAGTTAGCATTCCTAACAGACGTGACTGAACTGCTGAATGAGCTGAATGTCGAGCTGCAGGGACACAGTAAAAATGTCATCGACATGATCAGCAGTGTCAACACGTTCAAAAAAAATTAATAAGTGTTCTCAAGTAAGCTTCTCAGTGCCAATGCTCACATTCAGGTAGGATATCCTTTTTTTCTAAAATAGGGAACATTATTTGTTCATTGTAACATGAGTCACTTGCTTTTTATTTGCTGTCATTTTAGTGATGGGTATCGTTATTGTACTGATGTGCCTACAGTCTATTTTTCCTATATCCGAGCTTCAAATTCACACTGGTAGATCGCGCTGGACTGGCAAATGAAAAAGTAGATCTTACAGTAAAAAAGGTTGGGCACCCCTGTTCTAGATTTAGCTGGTACTGGAATGGCGCGCAAATAAGAAAAAAACATTCAGAATTCATTATAATATGGTGACATGAAACAGGCAATGCTGAAATTCTGCATCGAAGGAGAAAGAAATTCTTTATTAACAGGTTAGCAAACACCGGAAACCGACATGAATACTTGTGCTGTCTTGTTGCTACGGTGAATTAGTTGAAGGGTCAGCAAGGTAAGCTCTTTAGCATATTTATAATCCTGGCTTTCATTAGCAGCTGTTTTGAAAGAGTGGGAAAAAATATGAGATGGTTTTGTTTCTGTCAAGGAAAGAATGAACCTGGAAATATAGATCTATAATTTCAGGTACAAAATCTTCCCCCAGTTTCATTTCCATGTGAAAAGAAAAGAACAATAAACATACCCAGGACAAATGTATGTAACTGGCAATGACCATCACCAATGACTGCAGTGTTTCATGGAAAAGTGACCATTGGAAGTCCAGTGGAAAAAGACATTTGTTCGGAAGAGGTAGGGATTTCTGTGCTTATGAACATAAAGCAAAATGCTTTAACTGGGTATTTTGAACTGTGTGAAAGCTTGAAAAGGGTTCATATTACTCCCATAAGGAACATCTCCAGACACACCATTCAAAAACCCGAACAGCCTATATATAATAATAATTGCTTACACTTACATAGTGCTTTTCTGGACACTCCACTCAAAACGCTTTACAGGTAATGGGGACTCCCTTCCACCACCACCACTGTGCAGCAACCACCTGGATGATGCAACGGCAGCCATAGTGCACCAGAACCCTCATAACACATAAGCCTCATAACACATCAGCTATTGGTGGGGAGGAGAACAGACTAATGAAGCCAAATCATAGATGGGGATTATTAGGAGGCCATGATTGGTAAGAGCCAATGGGAAATTTGGCCAGGACACCGGGGTAACACCCCTACTCTTTTCGAGAAACACCCTGGGATTTTTCATGACCACAGAGAGTCAGGACCTCGGTTTTCCATCTCATCCAAAGGACGGCGCCTGTTTACAGTATAGTGTCCCCGTCACTATACTGGGTCATTAGAACCCACATGGACTGCAGGGTGAGCGCCCCCCGCTGGCCCCACTCACACCTCTTCCAGCAGCAACCTTAGTTTTTCCCAGGAGTCTCTCAGCCAGGTACTGACCAGGCTCACACCTGCTGAGCTTCAGTGGGCTGCCAGTTGTGAGCTGCAGAGTGATACTGTATGGCTAATGACCTATATTTTTCACATCTAGGAGGGTAGATACTTCATGAACCACTGAAGTACAGAACCCACCTACATGATGTGCATTATCCATTACGTGCCAGGAGCCCCATTTTACAGCCAATCAGCTTCATTAATCAAATTAGGGGGAACTTTAGGTGGGCCAGATTATACACACCCAAAGGGGTATCGGAAGAATTATGTTTTCTATGGCACAGTGTTCCCCGTGACCATACTGGTGTTCTGGTTTTTCTGGTCCAGAGAAAAGAGTGCCACCTACTGATCAACCAACACCACTTACCACAGACAACTGGATTTTCAATGGATATCTCAGTTTACTGAGAAGGTTGAGGCTTGCTGAGCTACTGTCGTGAATTTAAAAAGAGATTCTTGGATGTGTCACCATGTGCAGACTTATCACTTCTGCTGCACAACCACTTGGTTCTGCAAAGGGAATTCACATCAGACTCCATATTCTCATCCACTATCACGATCTCCTCTCCTCTCCTGCTCCAAGGCCTTCACCTCTCTGAGACTCAGAAGTGTCTTATTAAGGTGCTTCTGCACTCATGGAGGGAAGCCTCTTCTAAACCCATTATCTTACCCTTCCCTAGAGATGTACCAATACTTTATGACTCAGGTTTTCACCTTTTATGTGATGATGTTTATTAATATATTTCCAAGACCTTAATGTACTGTACATTCCAGCTACTGAACATAAAAAAATAGGAGAGAGGAGAGATTTCTGATGAATTAGGTACTCAGGATATGACTTTGAACAGCTCACTTACAAATTTTAGACATGTACAGGAAATAATTCTCATGTGAGATCCGTCTGAACATTAAAAGACTTTTAACCATCAAAGAAATAATCCAAGTGAGTAAAGAAGTGACAACACAAAAAAGTACATTTGACTGGCAAATTAGCTGCCTGCGTGTGAGCACCAGGTCGCATCCTCTAAATGTGTAAAGGGGCCTCTGTATTTACATCCTGAATGCCTCCATATTTTCTATTCAAAACAGCCACGTTGTGAACCAGTTCCATTTTGAAGGACAAAAGATTGAAGTGTAGCGTAAGAATTTCACAAGACAAAAATCAACACAGGGCTTAGTTTTCAAAGCTGTGAGCCACCACATCAAATCCAAAATCAAACCTGGGAACAAAAAAACAATTGAAATAAAACAAACTCTGCCTTTTGGCTGTGAGTAAAAAAATATTTCTAGAAGAATCTGCAGTATTTTCTGTTACAGTCACTTAAAATATAGTCACTGATTCAATTAGTGATGTTTGTAGATGGTAAAATAGGAGGCAAACGTAGACACTATGAAGGAAATTCTAAAGTATGAACATAGAACTGAAGGGTTCAGACATGCCTGGCAGATGCCATTTAATATAGACAAGTATGAAGCGTTCCATGCAGACAGCATGGACATACATTACAAACAAACAAATACAGAACCATTGATCCCATAGATCAACAACTTATGTAAGTTGTGAAGATTCTGATTCTGAAAGATCGCTCAGGTCTTTGAGACAATAGGGTGGCAGGACAATGCAAAGGGCATAAAAATCCTAGGAAGTTTAGTTAAAAGCGTGGGATTCAAATGAGTAATGTTACGTATAATGTATAATATTGTACATTAGAAGGATTTAAAACTTGAAGTCCTACAATGATTGAAGCAGATGCAGGCTTCACTCATAAGATGCCTGACAAGCCATAGGCGTCAATTCTATACAGCAAGCTTATGATACCCTGGCCAACTCCAGTCCATAACCCTGGCATCACCACTGTGTGGACATCCTGCTGAAATTGGCTTTTATTTTCACATTATTGAACTTGCCTCAAACAGTACCTACTTTATGTGACAGAATGTTATTCAATTTATGCTTATTAACTCAAAACACTCAGGAGATATTAATGGATTTTGACTAAAAAGAGGAGAGTATATTAAAGAAAGCTACAGAAGTTAAGCACATGTTATATGTTCTTTAGTGCAAACTCTGTTTTTTGTTTATCCTTTCTTTTACAATTGCAGCTAATCGTAATAAAATAAAACAAAAAAAAAACTGGAAAGCTTTGTTTTTGTCCTACAAGCTGAAGGTTTAGTTTTCTTTTGCAAAATAATCTGAAACATAGTTTTTTTTTTAATTTCTGTTTCAAGTCAGTCACTGTAGTAAATTTTGTCTTTCCATTTATTAATTCCCTTGTTTTGCACCATAGAGGAAATTTGTGATGTAGGACACCCAAGCTTTAACACTCATTTCAACCACATTCTGTATTTCTTCTTTTTCATTCCATGGGTGAAATTTTAGCAAGAAAAAAATGTCAAGCCTCAGTATCAATTAACTGTAGTCTGTTTATAGACTAAAATGATGCACAGTAA